AGTCAGACAAAAGAGGGGCACGGTATGTTCCCATAGGTATTCCAACAGACAGTTAGAAGATCTTACAACTGAATTCGACAAAATATATAAAGCTTCTGAAAACCAAAGTTATCGATCATCAAAAAATGCCTTACTTAAAAAATAGCTTTACATATTACCGTACCTGGTAATAGGCAGCATTATATACGTACAAAAAAATCGGACTGACCTTAACCTGTAGAGCTACTGACAAGACTTTTTTCGTCAAAATACAACTGGATTTATTACATCATATAACACTTGCTTGATCACATCTCTATGTTGAGGTCATTTTTACATTTGAAGTAACAAACATCAAGTTGTAAGCTTTAATCATATTCTAATAAATCTAATGAAAATAATTTATGAATATTCTCTCTTCGAGACTACAATATGGCGGCGACACTTCTCCCTTCCGTTTTCCTCATTTAAACAGCGATCTTATTTTGCAGCAAAATAGAATTTAATGTACTTAAATAACATTTTCCAAATCATTTATTAGCATTTTGTTGATGTAGTTAATACATATAACGGCAACACTGCAGTGACAAAGTTCATTATTTATCGTTGTGTTGCATCAATAGATAACATTTTTTGTAATGTAATGATTGTCAACAAGCCAAACTTCAAAGAACATGATCTGAAGCTTTACGAGAAGTTGTATTTTTTATGAACAGAGTTTAATGAAAGTTCTGAATCTTTCTTTTTATATCTTTTAGAAATCAATGATGTAGTTTTTTCTTGATAACGTGTATCGTTATGAAATATGGCGTCGTCAAGGAATGGTATATAACATTAACTGCTATCTGGGAAAAGAATAAATTGTAAAGAGTGAGGTATATGAGGCGGTGTGGGATCGGGCTGGCGTATGAATGAGTAGGTATGTTACATTCATTTTAGTCCTGAATAGAATAAGAATCAAAGCTGATGATATCCGTAAGTATCATATTGCATTGTGTTTGGTTCTTACATAAATGGTCTCGAAATAAGTGCGAATTTAACGAGATACGGATGGGTGAAAACCGGATGTTAACAGAACAATACGCTAGATGGTGGGGATTTCAGATTAGGTAGGGAGGAGTATGGAATACCTTATCATGAATAATGATAGGGAGCGATACGACTCTATTATAATAAAAATAAGATATGAGAAGTTTGTATCTATTAATGCATATATTTTTTTGCACAGACCACTAATAATACACAGTCCTTGTACTTTGTCCTCGGTCGATATCTTCCTTTCCGATAAAATTATTGGCCGACCTCATCAACATCCTAATAAACAGCACTGCAATCGTGATAAAAGAAAAAAAATAGATTACAATATCATATACAAAAAATGTATTGCCCATTATGTTTTTCATGTACGAAATGCGTCATTCTCTTCTCAATTACAAAATGTGTTACTTCAATATTTTACAAATTCATGTAAACTCATATTTTGACCCTAAAACTCCAGTAAATTGAAATATCAATTGGTGATCGACACAAAGATAAATAAACCCAACATCTCTAACATTTATGACTAATGTTTCACTTTAGGTCACATGAGACAAAGTTTCTTGGTGATTTATTACGATCACCATTTTTCCGTCGGTTGTCTGTCAACTTTTCCTATAAATCACAACTTCGTTTGAACGACAGAGTGGATTTTAATCAAATTTGGTCTGAAGCATGTTTGGATGGTTGATCTCAGACAAGAGAGGTGCGGTACAATCGGGGAAAGTTGATCAATTTCTTTAAAACTGACCATTTCTTCAAGAATGAAGGGAAATCAGAATGTATAAACGGTTGGTTTTCAGCTCCCTGGGGCCAGACAGAAGAGGTCAATTGGAGAAAATCCACAATTTTCCTGAAACCCTAGCTAGTTCGTTATAAATTGCAGAATATTGTCCAAATTAGGTCTGAAGCATGCTTGAGTAAAGTGAAATAAGTTTTGTATAAATGGTGGATTCCAGCCCACTGGGGCTGGAGGGGTGTGGCCCAATAGGGGAAAGAGAACACATTTCTTAAAATTCTACTCCTCATGTAGAAATGATTGGATTTTGCCTATATCATGTCTGAAGCTTCAATTGATGAGGAGGAAATAGTTTTGTATAAATTGTTGCTTTCGGCCCTTTGAGGTGGGAAGGGAAGTGTCCGACAGAGGAAATAGAACAAGTTCTTAAAAATCCATCGTCTTCAGGTAGAAATACCTGGATGTTTTCTCAATTTTGCCTGAAGCATGTTTGGATGAAGAGAATTCAGTTTTGTATAAACGATGGATCTCATTCTCATTGGGCGGGAGGGGTGGGGCAAATAGGAGAAATAAGCAAAATCTTTAAATTGATCATTTTGTAGGAATGTGTGGATTCTGTTCCAATTAGATCTGAGTCAATCTTTGGTTAAGGAATCAATTTTGCATGGACAGTGGGTTCCGGTCTACTTGGGAGGGAGAGGTTCGACCAAAAAGCACAAAATGAACAAATTTTTAAAATCCTTCTTTTGTAGGAACTTGGTATCCCTGATAAAGAATATTCAATAAAAAAAAGAAGAAAAAAAAAATACCTGGGCATCTAAGGAAGGAAGAGCGAGCTTATTACGAATAAATAAGTAAAGTGTTTGAAATAATTTCCCTTTAGTTTAGATAACTCAACTCCAGCAAACTCAACTAGGTGAATAATAAGGCCTTATGGGCATTTTATTTGTGTTCCACATTATGTTGAAACTTACCGCAAGAAATATATGCTTTCTGCCTTCTAAAATAATTGTCTTACCATATACATTTGATGACGTTCGAACATTAGAATATTGAAAATTCGAATAGTAAGTTCTACTGAAATTTTCATCTCTAATTTTGTATACATTTATGTAAACACGTAAAACGTAAAACAAAAAAAGGAAATTATTTTGAAGAAAAACGGTTTAATATCTGTCAACGCAGCGATTAGCGTTTCTTTTGATGAATTTGCAAGCAAAGTCAAAGGCGATCAAAGATACAGTATATGATTGCTTAAATTTCTGTTTTTAAATTGAAAGGCCTATGATACCTGCCCTGAAAAGACATTTTAAAAAATCAGCTTATTTAAAAAAAGAAAGTATTCGGCCAGGGAAGGTATCATTTTTATCGGCATACCTAAATATAGTCTGTCTTTAAATCTTACCACTGAGCGCAACCGATAATCATTTTTGTATTACATCCCCAGCAAAATTCAACTAACAATTTACCTTTCTTTATCAACTATTCTTTTTTTCAATTTTCACAATCATTTAATTGTAACCGTATGTGCAAAATTTGATCGAAAGCATTTCTGTAAAATAAATAGAGGTTTGAAAATGTGCAAAAGGGAAAACGTAGTTTTAGAGTGAATGACTTTGAAAAACTGATGTAGTAGTACATTTTTGGGTCTTGACAATGTTCATTCTTTAATCAATTCGACGAAATTGATCAATATCATCAATATACTCCTGTAACTCAAACGAGTAGTTCGGATAAACTAGTTTTCGAGCAAAGTTTTTTCCCTTCTTTTCAAAGTTTATGATTAAAAGCAAATGGGATATTTCATTTTTTCTTAATAATCACCGACATCATCAGATTGTGAAAAGTAGAACGGATACTATAATGTTACCTTATTTTTTTCTACTTTCGTCTTCCTTTTTGCTTATCTATGTTGTATAGTTCTAATGATGAGTACGATTCTTATCTCAATTTAAAGTGTTTCTAAGAAAGTCAATTTTCAAAATGGAATTGGATCTCAATATCAGGAATACTTTCTAGAAACTCAAAGTTGTAAACAGGAAGAACCTATTGCAATTTTGTATCAAATTAATTAATTTATTTATCAATACTAAATAGTGTCATGCAACAGCAAAGTGGTAAATTTCCAAAGACCATTTCCCTTTTCTAAATCATTAAATTTAATTGGGGAATTATTAGATTGATTAGATATATTTGCGCTTTGTAATTTACATATCACATTATCAGATACTAAAACGAGGTCAAGATGAGTTTATTTTATAGGGTTTTCCTTCTTCTACTATCTGGATGTTCCTGTCTGTAAACATCATCTGTAAGTTCAATCGCTTTATCTCTAGTTTTTAATCGTTTATCTGTTTATAATTTTCGTAGTCTAAATCAGAGTTGTATAATCTTTAAGATAGCAGGTGGTAGACACTGCCAGTGGGCTTTAAGTCCCCGAGGTTTGCCGTAATCTGCTTCCCACGTTTTGATTAACTTGAATAGTGGCATGGTTAAGAAAAAACACATTACTTGACGCTATTCTAAAATTATCTGATTTATGAAAAATACGAAATTTAATTTATCTAATTATTAGGTAACTGCACCTCCCCGTCCTAGATTTTGTTTTTTCATTTGATCACTTGATATCTTCCTTGGACGTCTCCTAAGCTTCAAAAGCTAGGCATTACGGACGAGTCGTGGAAGGAGGAAATAGCTGTATGATGCAGTTTGACTCATCGTTTGGATCTACTGTATCTAACTCTAAATCAAGAAAAGACGCTATTCACTTGTGTGTCTGTTGTACAATATGAAAGTCATCTCCTGTTTTGTGACATTTATTGTTGAAATCATGAATAGTTTCTCGAATGTTTTCCTAAACATCTGGACTGGTAAGCAGTTCGGACAAAATGTCGGTTGAGCAAATCAATTAGGTAAAACTAAAATGTTATTTATAAACCCTTGCCGAGACATGAATTCACAAGTGAACTTGTTAGACGAAGATAATACGAGTAACGCGGTTTTTGTTTTCACTTTTTAGCTGTCTCGGTTTTACAATACTGTAATAAACATATAACATGTACCGTATGTCTAATTTCAGTTATATTTAACGTACCAATGTCCAAGAAGAAACTTAAAGTTATTTTGGTGTACATAAGATTGATATCTTATTAGTATCAAATTATACATCAAACATTCTCCGATGAAATTTGCTTCTTCATTAATTTTACAACTCATTTACATATAAAATCATCTTTGCTTACAGATGGCCTCCAACAAGAGCCTTCATTCTTCTACTAAAGGTATATATGATAAATAACAACAACTAATGTTAACGTAATCATTATAACAAGAAATGAAAAAAATATCTCTTACCTCAGTCGCCTCCTTACATTCTCGGCAGCTTATACCACTGATGTGTCCTAGAAGAAATAAACCTTTGCGTGATAAAATTCATTTGTTTTTTGGTTATGCTGTACCTAATTCGAATTGTTGTAGTTAAATTTTTTATTTCAATGTGCGTACTATCCTTCGAATATCAAAAATAGCTCTTTGTAAGACATTTCATTTTTCTACTACAAAATTAAAGTCAGACAGTTACTAGGCGAAAATATTTTGTAGGTTTGAAAATTGCATTAATTGGTACAACTGGGACAGGCAAAAGCACTACGGGAAACACCTTGATTGGTGGAGAAATGAATAAATTGAAAACATCCGCAAGTCGTTGCTCATCTACCAAAACCTTCAGTGTCACAGAAATAGAGAGATTCGGTACTAAACTTACTGTAGTGGACACTCCAGGGATTTTAAACACCACAATGTCGCAAAGCGAGTTACGAAGTCAGTTCAAGGAGCGTACTCAACTGACCATCTCCGAAATTGATGTTTTTCTTCTTCTCATGAAAATTGGCGAAAGAAACATAGACAATGAAGATGAGAAACCATTTCGTTTCATGAAAGATCTGTTTGGCGAAGAATGTTTTACCCATACCATCGTGGTTTTCACTGGAAAAGAAATACTGGAAATTGATGGATACAATATAGACAAGTATGTGTCCGAGCTACCAGATGGATGTAAAACATCAGTAAATTCATGTAAAGGTGGAATTCTTGCTATTTCAAATACAAGTGGAAACATTGCCAGGGAACAAGCAGCTAAGGATATTATCACGGCGGTCAACAACCTTGTACAGAATAATGGCAGATTAAATCTGCATAAATCTTCCTCGAAGACTAGTAAAATGCAAAATGTAAAATGCTGTATTGCGGCTTTGAGTTCCTTTGTTGCTGTTCTAACAACTGGAAAATCATGGTTGAGGCAGTTGCTACATGCCTGTACACAGGTCATTTCCACGCAAAATACATTTTGCAGTGGTACTTTACTTCCTAACGAAATTATGGGTATAGGTTTTGAAGCTGCTGTGTAGACAAACAGCCACATCTTGTCTGGATAGTTATCTATAGATAGTCTAGTGCTTAGTCTAGTGATATGTTTGCTTACCTGTAACGTGGGCAATATCAGTATATCAAGGTGTCCTGTGCTGTATTTATGCATAATTATTAACATGCTAGATAGGTAATTGTAAATATGTAATTTGATCCCGGATGAAGTTAGAACATAGTTAGTGCATTATAACAGGTTGTTTTAGAAGTATATAATTGAACATTTCCATTTAATTATAATATAAATAAAGTTATATCCCACGCTGGTGGATCATGACAATGACCAGGGTAAGGCTAAGATGAGGTGTTTTGATATGCTAAGGAGTTCCACGATAAACTGTCAGTGCCAGTGACGTAATGTCAGTGACGTTATGTTGTGACGTTGTGGTGACGTGTGCTGTGACGTTGTGTTGTGGCCTGTGTGTTGTGACGTGGTGTTGTGACGTGGTGTTGTGACGTGGTGTTGTGACGTTGTGTTGTGACGTGGTGTTGTGACGTGGTGTTGTGACGTTGTGTTGTGACGTGGTGTTGTGACGTGGTGTTGTGACGTGGTGTTGTGACGTTGTGTTGTGACGTTGTGTTGTGACGTTGTGACGTGGTGTTGTGTTGTGGCCTGTGTGTTGTGACGTGGTGTTGTGACGTGGTGTTGTGACGTTGTGTTGTGACCTGTGTGTTGTGACGTGGTGTTGTGACGTTGTGTTGTGACGTTGTGTTGTGACGTTGTGTTGTGACGTTGTGTTGTGACGTTGTGACGTGGTGTTGTGACGTGGTGTTGTGACGTGTTGTTGTGACGTGGTGTTGTGACGTGGTGCTGTGACGTGGTGCTGTGACGTTGTGTTGTGGCCTGTGATGTGTGATGTGTGTGTGATGTGTGTTTACGTGGTGTTGTGACGATTTGTTGTGACGTGTTGTGACGTGGTGTTGTGACGTTGTGCTGTGACCTGTGTGTTGTGACGTGGTGTTTTGACGTGGTGTTGTGACGTTGTGTTGTGACGTTGTGCTGTGACGTTGTGTTGTGACGTTGTGTTGTGGTGTTGTGTTTTGACGTGGTGTTGTGACGTTGTGTTGTGACGTGTTGTTTTGACGTTGTGTTTTGACCTGTGTGTTGTGACGTGGTGTTGTGACGTTGTGTTGTGACCTGTGTGTTGTGACGGGGTGTTGTGACGTTGTGTTGTGACGTGTTGTTTTGACGTGGTGTTGTGACGTTGTGTTGTGACGTGGTGTTGTGACGTTGTGTTGTGACCTGTTTGTTGTGACGTGGTGTTGTGACGTGTTGTTGTGACGTGGTGTTTTGACGTGGTGTTGTGACGATGTGTTGTGACGTGTTGTGATGTGGTGTTGTGACGTGGTGCTGTGACGTTGTGTTGTGACGTGGTGTTGTGACGTGGTGCTGTGACGTGTTGTTTTGACGTGGTGTTGTGACGATGTGTTGTGACGTGGTGTTGTGATATGGTGCTGTGACGTTGTGTTTTGACGTTGTGTTGTGACGTTGTGTTGTGATGTGGTGTTGTGACGTGGTGTTGTGACGTTGTGTTGTGACGTTGTGTTGTGACGTTGTGATGTGGTGTTGTGACGTGGTGTTGTGACGATGTGTTGTGACGTGTTTTTGTGATGTGGTGTTGTGACGTTGTGCTGTGACGTTGTGTTGTGACGTCGTGTTTTGACGTGTTTTTTTGACGTGGTGTTGTGACGTCGTGTTGTGACGTTGTGTTGTGACGTTGTGACGTGGTGTTGTGACGTTGTGTTGTGACGTGGTGTTGTGACGTTGTGTTGTGACGTGGTGTTGTGACGTTGTGTTGTGACGTGTTGTTTTGACGTGGTGTTGTGACGTTGTGTTGTGACGTGATGTTGTTACGTGGTGTTGTGACGTTGTGTTGTGACGTGGTGTTGTGACGTTGTGTTGTGTCTTGCGCCGAGGTGGAATACTACTCGCCTATATCGACTTTTTTACAGTACATTATTATAATGGAAAACAGCCCATTAATGGACTGTTATTACTGATTGTGATGCTCATAACGTTTGTATTGTATTATTAGGTTTATGTGTGAAAGCGAGTGTAAATAGTGTTAATGTTTGTAGCTATTGTTAATATTGTACATAGGAAATAAATGTTGTAAATAATGTAAACATAGTGTTTTGCCTTGCTGTCACTACCATCATAGGCAATATGCTCATCCCGTTACAATGTGGCTTCAACCAAATATTTGAAAAAGAATCAACTCATAACAGTGAGAATTATAACAAGAGTTATAACACTAGTCATCAGAGACTTTTAGAAATGGCTGGGACTTCTTAATTGAAATAAAAAGATGAAAATGCAATATAACATAAGCGTACATGTCCTATTTAACCAATGCACGTCTCGCCTGTCATTCTGACATTCACTCTTCGTAACACTAGAACATGATTTATTTGCTCTTGATCTATCATCTATTAGTGAAGTTCATACGTTCTTGAATGCCAGAAATCATAACCATCTTGTCTCACCTTAGTGCTATTATTGCATGTCAGCAAATGGTTATGAGGCAAAATATATTATCATTAAGGCATTACCATAACATACTTACCAGGCGTTATATTATAACTAAAGACTTCACTTCCACAATTACGTTATTGAATCGTTCCCGTCATCAGAACGCACAGAAATAATTTCTACTAAAGGACATTAGTGAAAAAAAAGACAGGAACGCTATCAACGATTTTTTTAAACAATTGAACCTTATAAATTATCAAGAATTATCAAGAAAACCTATAACCCCACAAATGCCTCCTAATGAGTAACATTACCGTAAATGTAAATGTTTTATAATCAACGAAATAAGTCAACCTCTCCAAACAGATAACCGTGCTACGTTGTGTGTTCGCGAAGAGATGGAGATTGTAGGAAATGAGAGAGTTGTTTTGCTGAAACATTCAGCTTTTTATCATAAGTTTCCTGCAAATATGAACGTTTGCCTTTTGAGGATTGAAGTCTATGTTTTGACCGCCATTGCAAGTTTATCTACACAGATAATCGACTATTATACAAACAAATGTAAGAGGAAGAGACATTACACACCAACACTTTAATCAAGTGCAAAGTTCATTATGTGACTATTCCACGAATAACTGTAGCGTAATCTAGTGTACACAGATATGCTAAAAAGAAATATTTTCTGATAAAGGAGAAATTACGTACTGAAAACAGATCGTGTATATTTGAGCGGGAGACAAACCACACGTTGTTCATTATATTTGGCAGCACACTTCTATAGCAGGTAATCTCATTTATTGATTGATAAATAGCATAAATGATCCATGTTGTTCAGCAATATCGATTTCTATATCATATGCTTCTTACATATCATCTGAAATCTTTACATTACATAGTTCATTGGATATTGAGAAGGTTTCATATCATTAATTGGTATGTAGAACAAATTGGCCTCATTAGAAGTATAGTCACAATGACTGTGAAAAGTCCTTCAATTTTACTTTTAAATATGTTGATGACGTCTTGTCTTTAAATAACAAGATATTTATTTACTTGAGGAAACAATATTTGTCATTAATGAAGACATCATTAACTATTCTATATTTTCACAAGCAAAATAAATACAAACACATTACGGACACTATAAAAGAACGAAGTTGACTATGCTTTTCGCGGACACTACTCAAGCATTTTAAATTTTGAACCCATACATAATTGAATATGCGTGTCTAATATATTCAGTCTTATGGACACTGAGTGAAATAACAACTACACTCTGATATATTTTGTATTCCTTATATTAGCTTAGATTGACTGATACATGTACACTCATCGCCTCCTACAAATCAAAGACAATTCTCTATAAAACCTGAAATACCTAATTGATATGAAATACCTTCGTCTTAAGCACTCGCTGTTGTCATTTACTTATTTAATTATTAATACATAGCATCTGGTTTTAACAACCTTAACAATGTTCCAAAAAAAGGTTTACGGAACAGATCTATCTATATAATCTATAAATATCTGCGAGACTTTTTTTTCAGATGGCGTCAGCCGAGAAATGGATTCCAAAAACAAATCAAGGTAAAGATAACACATTGAGAATATTCAATGAATTCCGTTTAATATTATATGTATTTCACAAGTATGACAGACTATTGGTTTGTTCGTTAGTGCAAACACGGGTGAAATTATAAATATTCAGTCCTACGATTCGTTTTTAGAAATGTTCTGCCATTCTTGCCATACATGTTTGATACCTGTCTCTTGAAAATCAGTTATAAGCAGATGGTAACGTGTAATTGAAAGAAGGCCTCCACATTTGTTTGTAACATTATCGTTTTTTTCCTATTAAGACAGAGATTTTTACAAAAAATATTTCCCACTTATGTTTATACTTTAAACTATTACTTTGGATAAGGAGATGCCCAAGTAGTGGGATTTCACCACGAGACATTTTGTTTTCTATTTTCATTGATAAATGTAAGCTTATCTATCATAATTACAAGCAAAACTGAAAACGATACAAAACCAAAAATCCTTCCATTCTGTTCTATAAGATTTTTGGTATCGAAATTTTAGGTCATATACATCATTGCGGGTACCTATTTCTATTTATATTGATGTTTCATGCTTTAAGTTGGATTTGATCAATTTGTTATTTTACTGTATATTTTACTCCCAAATGATAATACTGTCTTTCTCTTTAAAATGGTCGGTTTTATCCGGAATGTCATTAACAAAGGATATTATAAAGATACATTTAGTTCTGTTTTGTTTTGCAACATTCTCACACTCTAACTCTGTCTTTCTCTGTAACGTCACAATGTAAAGCATTGCAACCTTCAGCCAGTCACAGACCTGCTAGATCAAATAACACGTGTTCAATAAGAGATAAAATTACGTAAATCCTACATGTAATATTAAAGCAATCATAAAAGCTCCATTGTTTTTTTCCTGGGTTTCTATCATTTAATATTAATGCATTTCTTGTAGGTTTGAACATGGTTCTAATTGGAGTAACTGGGACAGGCAAAAGCGCCACAGGAAATACGCTGGTTGGAGGTACGGAGTCCAAATTCATATCTTCTCCAAGTCGCTCTTCAGTTACAGCAGAATGCCATGCTGTTGAGGTAGAAAGATTTGGCCGTAAGCTTGTAGTAATCGACACTCCCGGGATTTTTGATACCAATGTTCCAGTAGTAAGATCAAAGATACTGCTCATGGAGTTTACCCAGCTTGCTAGTCCTGGAGTTCATGTTTTCCTCCTTGTAATGAAAATAGGACAAAAAAACATTGCCGACAGAGATCAGAAATCCTTCAAATTCATGAAAAAACTACTTGGAGAAGAATTTCGCGACCATACCATTGTAGTTTTCACAGGAGAAGAAATACTGAGAACGGTTAAGCAAGATTTGGAAACATATATTTCTGAACTACCAGATGAATGTAGAAAACTAGTAAATTCGTGTGAAGGTGGCTATCTTGCTATTTCAAACACAGGTGGAATAGCCTCCAGAGAAAGATCAGCCAAACAGATTATTGAGAAAGCCAACGATCTTGTTCAGCTCAACGGTGGATTTGACAAGTATTACAGTAACATATTATTTGATGAAACGTATGAGAAGATGAACAAAATGATGGAAGATACGCTGAAACAGAATGCAAAAATCGTTGAGGAAATAAAGCTGAAACAAAAAAACAAGCGAAGGATTGAATTACAATTTAATGATGGAAATCCCTCAATAGAACAACATAAACTTGTCAAAATTATCGAGAAAGAAATCGAGGACCTTCGCAAAAAACTTCTTGATAGAAATACTGTTCGACGAAAGATCCTGGATAAGTTAGAAGAACAAGAAAGAAAGAAAAAGGTGGGTAATGCTAGTGCTACAACTGCCATTACTGGTACAGTAGCTGTTGTCGCCACTGCAGCAGTTGTCTTCCTTTTTAATGTCATGAAGTAGAGTTGTATATAGCTGTATCTATACTTAGACGATTTTTTATTTGTGTAAATGTTCATCAGAGTAGGGCCTAACTCAAAATGCGATTGACGTGCTTTACATGTGTGTACATACACATTATGCTTATAATGATATTAAACAATGTTTATGAAAATCAGTTTTTTCAGTTTAAAACTTATCTTGATATAAGATTGCTTTTTTTCTTTGGTGTGTCCCATCTGTGGTGTTTTCTAGTGATTTCCAGTCAGCTCATCAGAAAAAGTACTAATTTGCAACACTTTGTAAATATGATTATTGAAAAATTAATATGGAAGTACTTGTTCAAAATTGTAACAAAAAGTCGTCCTTGTAAATTCTTCACTATTTATTATTTTTTTCTTGTCGAAGTATGATTTCATTGATATGTTCTTGTTATCTTCTTGTATTTTTACCTTAGCTGCATCGAATGATTTTGTCAGTGTGTTAGAAAGGTCAAACGTCAAATTTTGTCAAAATTTAAAAAAAAAACATTTGGTCCTATTTCAAATTCGCCAAGTTGAATTTTGTCAAAGGCAATTATTCTATTTTAACATATTTTAATTTATAGTATAACTTTTAAGGAAAGGTGAATGAAAGCCAAATTGCAATCAATGACCTAAAATTCATGGTCAATTGATCAAAGTTCAAGGTTACAAAACTCTAACAGCATTTTGAATATTGCTATACTATATTCAACGTCATGATTTGACCCTTCTTTCGTAAGGTTTCAATCTTTCCAAACTCTGTATAGTGGTATTCATTCAAATGTTTTCATCGTTAATTTGAGTTTGTGATAGTATAGCCATAATGTCTTTCCTTTCGATATACTGGGCCGCTATCAACTATATTGAATACTTAAGTAGCTAAACTTGTTGTTTTCCCATCAGTACAAGGTAAAGAATCTACAATATTCTACTTCACAGGCGCAAAAGAATGGAATTCTCTTCTAGATTATATTAAAAGTATACCAAACAAGCTGAAGTTCAAAATCCAAGTGAAAGGTCACTTTCAAAACAAAATGCAAGAAAAACATGATAGTTATTATGTATATTATTGATGGAAATACATTTGTAAATCCATTTTAAGGACCCCAATGGAAATAAGCGTTTCAACGCTTTTTTGGGAAATCCTAGGATATATGTACTTTTGTCTTTATTTATAAATATCACTAGCTGATACATTAAAGATGTAGCAAACAACTTATTCATGATTATGTATAACATGTTATATGTGCCATATATTCATTTGTTTTGTATACAAATCTGTACATCTTTATAGTGAATAAAATTTATTATTATAATTATTATTTCGTATGTCATAGATTTTTACCGATAGGATTGAAATGTAACAATGTTTTCTTTTGATTTAAAACAGATAAGCCATTTCAAACATCTTATCAATATCAAAAGGATTAACATATCCCCAGTGCAAGTTGTTAAGATGTAACACATACATAAAAAAAAGATTCACACAAACACACCGTGTATATTGTAACGTGTGTGGGATCTGCCTTAGTTGATAGCGCTGGCAGAACGGGCATCGAAACACGCCACGTTTCTGTGCCCCACTATGGACACTTGTGGGTGGGTTCTGTTATGACTAATGACCCGGCCGATCCAAGGATAACCAGGAGACAGATAAAGAGTCAACAGTTTATTGGATACGGAATGACACCCAAGCTACAATTACCCCTACCGGCGGCGAAATACTAGGTTTGGACAAGGCTATTAGGCTGGGAAATGATACGGCTATCGGCTGACTCTTCGCAGCCCCTAGGGTAAGCACTCTGCTGACTGGTCGCAGCATCTACTTAGGTACCGGCAGGGTATGATGGTCTATGGCTCCAGCTTACAACTATGCAAAGTGGCCGGCCGATCCACGTACTACACAGAGTAGCCGTGCTTGTAACACATGACCTGGTTGCAAGAGTTGAAGCACAGACCACCACACGGCCGCCGTCTTATTAAGCAATACGCCGATTATTCTAACAATTTACGACCTTGTCGAAACCTGCACATTAAAACCTAACACTAACCTAATGTTTAATTATGTAAGAGGTGCATACGCTTATAATTCTGACACAACTAAACCTACATTATACCTAAAGATTTTTCAGTAATTAACAATTAAATATCTAAATGACAAACATAACAAGGGAAATAACTCTTACCTTTTACTAAAAACATCGGAGATAAGGTACACAGCGGCATAACGTTACACAACCCACGCCTCCGACACACCTCGTCCCTGAGGTGTAGCCACTCGGTACCCAACCCCCATACCACCAGCCCCATAAAAACACAAACGAATGATTAACGCTTATACGTAACCTTTCCCCCATATACCCCTTACAACTCTATCCGCCGTTTGGAATCCCGCCTCGCAGGATAGCACGACTAATGTATTAGTTCCACTGTCTCTACGCCGCACAGACGCCAGGACTCCAACATCCACCCTGGTTCCCCGCTGGACAGGCTCACTGGTCTCAGCGTCGTTCCCTCGGTGTTCCACCACAGCCTTATTGTTGGCGGGTACAGGAACACGTCCCTCAGGACAATCAGGGACTGACTGTGATACCCGGCGCACTGGCAAACAAACCCCGATGGGGGTGGCAGGCCTGGAACCTTCAGGTTCCGCTAAGAGGCCTATCTCCTCTGCAGCCACCATATGCTCGTTAGGGGTTTCAATTGTTTATGTTCCTGCTTTCGATGTCTCTGCAGGCCTTCTTCATGCTTGTATCTTTTGCCGCAGGCGTCGCAAGTGTACTGGAGCAGGCGATTAAGTTCCTCCCGGCTGTGTGGGCTCCTGGTACCTTTGGTGTTAGGTATCCTGGCAGATTGGTGACAGAATCTCAAAATATCAGGGCTTATATACCTGTCTTCCTGCCAAATATTCAAATAACACGTGCAGGGCGGGCTTTCAATTGATGACACAGCACAAATGTCAACGGTCAATCAACGTACGTGATAGCAAGTAGAGTGGCCGACTCATCATCTAATGAGACTTCTGCTACACGAAAACATCAAAGAGGGCATGTTCCCTTTGATCTTACAATTGAAATGTATGGAAGCTGCGTGGCGCCTCGCGGTATGGAACTCCATCAGTGCTAACCTCCGTGAACTATGGAGAACAGCAAAACAGAACATAGTTGTCAAAACGACTTGGTTTTCGACGTTTCCTCCCGAACTGACTTTCCTGCGTCAACGGGGGCACCATTTCCGCTTCGTTTTCAGCCACGCTACCCTCAAACTCTGTTGCCTGGTCCGCGTCAGCCCGAGTTCCTTCCTCTTGCTTATTGGTCAGGAAGGGTCCGGAACAATCATCCCCGTCCAAACCATCGGGATGCTTCTGCAAAAGTTTGAGTCGGTCATGATGTCAAAATGGTTAGGGAGTTTCTTTACCCGGTAGGTCACAGAGTCAATTGCCTCCACCACCTCATACCCTTCCATCCAGCAGGACTGCAACTTTGGCGAGAGACCGACAGTCTTCCGCTCAGTGTAGACCAAGACACGATCACCAGGTTGATATTACATTGCCTTTGTACGTCTGTCATATTGTCTCTTCTTCTGTCTTCTCAAACTCTCGCCTAAGTGTTGCCGCGCAATCTCACGAACCTCTTCTAGACCAGTTTGTAGCTCCTGGACCCACTGAGTAGTTCCTAAAGGAAGCTCCTCTGAAACACTACCCATGGTCAGATGAACAGGAAGTGCTACCTCCCTTCCCAGCATCATTCGGTTGGGAGAAAACCCCGTTGACTCGTGTTCAGCGGCTCTGTACGCCATGAGTATTAGAGGGAGGCGAAGGTCCAAATCCTTTTGATCTTCTGCGATATATGCCGACAGCATTCCCTCCATGGTGTGGTTAAATCTCTCTATAAAACTGTTGGACTGGGCGTCGTAAGCAGTCGTTTGTGTTTTATGGACACCCAATAACTGGCACATCTCCCTGAAAACGCCCCCTATCAGAGTTGAGGATGCGAGGCACTCCAAACCTTGACACATAAACTTCCACCAGAGCCTGTGCACATGTCACAGCTTCCGCACTGGGTAGAGCTACTGCATCCATCCATTTGGTGAAATGGTCCCCTATAACAAGGACATGGATGTTGTCCCGGTCCAACCAAATCCAGAGCGACCCGTTCTCCTGGGCCTCCAGCAGCGCCATTCTGAAGTGGAGATCTGGGTTTCTGGCCACATCGTTTGTGCTTGGCACATGTCTCGCAGCTTGCACATCACAATCTGACGTCCAGGCCAATAATACGCTGATCTGATTTTAGCAGTGGTTTTGTATACTCCAAGGTGACCCCCAGTTGGTTTCTCGTGGCACTCCCGTAACACCTCACACTTATGGGCCTTTGGCACAACCACCAGGTGGCTGTCCAACTTCCCACTACGAAGGAACAAGCGCCGGCAAAGCAGACCATCCTTTAGTTCTTACCTGTCAAGCTGCCCCCAGAGCGTTTTCATCACTGGACTGCACGCAGAAATCACTGCATGCTGGCTTCTTGCCAGACCTAACCCAGTCACAAACTGGGTCCTTCTTCTGACTCTGTTGAAGCTCGTAGGTATTAGCCTCCAACTGGACTGCTCGTGCGCTCAGCCCGCCTTTTCCCCGACCGCACTGCTTGCATGGAATTCGAGACATCGCGTCGGCATTTAGGTGCTGGCGACCCGGCCAATGTTTGACTTCAAACTTGAAGGTGGACAGAACCTCTAGCCATCTCACGAGTTGGCCTTCGGGTTCCTTGAAGTTGGTTAACCAAACCAACGATCCATAGTCAGTCTTAGTAAGACCTTTCTACCTAGAAGGTAGTGTTTCAGCTGCTTACAGGCGTAGACAACCGCCAGCAACTCTCTGCGGGTGACACAGTATCGCCGTTCAGTCGTACTCAGGGAACGGCTGATGTAGGCAACGACCCGTTCTTTGTCGCCATACTTCTGTGATTGGACGGCTCCTATGCCAGTCCCACTGGCATCGGTATCCCG